CAGGAAACAGATAGAAAATACACAGACAAAAATCAGAAATTGTTCTTCCTATTGTTGTCTTGATTTCACTTGCTTCGACCTGTTTAATCAATACTGATTTTTCTAAGTCCCAACTGAGTTTACTGGTTGTGTGTTTCATTGGTTTGTTTCTGGATTTGGTCTGTCTGGAGTTCTGATTCTATTACACTGCTTGCTGCTGTCATTTTGCTACTTTTTCCATCGGCTATAGTTGCATCTTGCACTGGAACTTGTTCTGTTGTTACCTGTTTGTTACTATTGTTGTTCGTTTGCCACTGTTACTCTATTGACCTCTCTTCTTCTTCAATTTTAAGCACTTCCGGGTACATACTTCTGAAACCATGTGTTGTTGAAAGCTTGAAGTTTGAAGTAGAAATAAAGAAATGAACGTCGTTTGCTTTCACACTACCTGTGTTCAAAGTATAGCAGTAGGTTAAATGATAGTTAGCCTGTATTTGTTTAAGCTCATTCCAATTGCATTTGTTCTGTATGAATTAATACATATCCTAATTGAGATAGACTACTAGATAGTATGTTGTTAGATCAGACGTATCTCCATGTGTATAACAATTTAGTCTGATTTAGTGAGGACAGTATAACATAGAATCATAGCAAGCATCTATATGTATTCCTGCCTGGATCATTGAACTATCAAACCTTGTTATGTCTGGCCCAATTTGATTTCAAGATAAAAGTATCCCAAACAAATTCTCATATGGTATTACGTTAACAGATTGGCCATATATGCCAACCCTTTTTTTTTAGATTCTTTGTTTCGATATAGGTTCGATAATAACTGATATTGGCATCGGCCCATCATTTAGACAAAGTGGCTATTAATAAGATCAGCAAGTTTTTACCTATTTTTGAAGCACGAAATAATGCAACAATTTTGAGGAACACTAATTTAATAGGCATGAGTTGAGTAAGATGGTCTGGCGCTTAGATCAGATAAACTCCCAAATGAGCATTAATAATTAAGGTTAATCCCAGCACTAATAGTCGCAGACGATTATTCGTTTGTTTACATAATTATGAGGAGTTAATTTAGCTATAGGATAATTAATCATGTTTGGATATATTATTTAAATCGTCCTCGATTTTGTTTATAATTTCTAGTAATGTTCCTTTCAGTAAATGTGCGTCTCAATCTAGCATTTAATATGATATGTCTCTTTTAAGCTTGTAACGATTTAGGATTTTTTTCTCATTTATTTTTAGAAAACAAAAAAAAAATAGAAATGTAGTCATGCTAAGGTTATCCTTTTAAAAAAAAAGAATGAGACGAGCCTCGCCAAATAAAAAAATGCAAATTGCGGGGCTCTCAATAATTGGTCATAAGAAATACTTAGAATTTGGGATGGACAGTTTAGTGAATATCACTGCCTTCCCCAAAGATAATAACGCGTTAGACTCTTTAGGCGCGACTTAATTAAATTACATTCTTAAATTCGGGTGCGCATTTATGTGACCCAAATTCAAATCTCGACGGAGTCGGAATGTATTAACAATCACGGGTGCATTGATTGTGACGTGGTTCGAGATGCGTTTTCACGACGTTGCAATTCTATAAAAATAATAATAATAAAAGTGGTTTAAACCTAATAAGAGCACACAAGTCATAACATGTATTAAAATCATATATTTAGCCATTATAACAATTTAAGCGACCGTGCTAGAACCACGGGATTCGGGGGTGCCTAACACCTTCCCTCGGGTCAACAGAATTCCTTACTTAGAATTTCTGGTTCGCAGACTTCATTTGGAAAGTCGAATATTTTCCTCGATTTGGGATTCAAGATAAACCGGTGACTAGGGACACCAAAAGCCAAACCTTTCCCAAGTGGCAACTCTGAATTAAATAAATAATCTCATTTCGATTATTATCACTTAAATTGGAAAAACTCTCTCGCGCATCCTACCCTTCGGGGCGGGCACGCAAAAAGGAGGTGTGACAATAACATTGTCACAAATCCTCTATAATCTCATGAATGGTCTTAGTCCCTTCAAGCTCATATGGATTACTACGACTTATCCTAATATTAAAACACGGGGTGTAACAATAGCTATAATAATTTCAAAGAGTGGCAAAACGTATATTTAGTTGCCATTTTTTTTAGCAATGAGTTTGTAGTTATTAACCAAGTTACTGCCAAAGATTTTTAAAATTAATGCAAAAGTATATATTTAGCTACAATATTTTATTTCAAGTAATTATTTGTGGCTAAAATGTTAGAATTGCTATAGTAACTTCAAACACATAACAAAAACTTAAGATTAGGTATGCAATTTTATTGTAGCAATACGTTTGTATTTATTAAGACAATTATTGCCATGAATTACTATAGGTTTGAAGCAAAAATATCTATTTAGTTATGACATTTTGTTTCAAGTAAGTTTTTGTGGCTATAAGGTTACTAGTGCTATAGTAATTATAAATTCGTGGTAAAATTATACTAGTATAGCTATGAAATTTTATTATAGCAATAGATTTGTAGCTATTGGATCACTATTGCCATGATAGTTAGCAACTGTAGCAAATATGAGGAATTAGTTTTGCTAATTTAATCTTTGTAGCTAAGAAATTTTAAGAAATTCTAAATAGCCGTGAAATTTTATTTTTTATGTCTATTGTTAAGTAGGGGTGTACATAGGTCGGGTTGGTTCGGATTTTACAATTATCAAACCAAACCAATAAAACTCGAGTTTTTCACTCTCGGTTTTTCTCGAATTTTCTAGGGTTTTCGGGTTATTCGGGTTTTTTTGGATTTTTTTCCGGTAAAATCTTCTTAGAACAAAACATATAAATTGTGCTCAAAATATTTCTTTAATCCTAGTAAGATACAACTATATAAAGTATTTTTCAAGAAAATAATACAAAATATGAGATGTGTCATAGCATTATCATAAAATATTTTACAATAAAATTATATAATATGAATATTGCTAATTAAAAAGCCATAATAAAAATAAGCATAATATAAAAGTACTAAGTCATGCTTAAATAAGTAGACTAATAAGGGAGTATTAATTACATGACTAAACACTAAAGAAAAAAGTAAAAATAGGTTATGCATTTTTATCTAAATTATTGCAAAAACAAAAATAGATATTCAATACATTCCTGTTCGCAGTATTGAATTGAATGTCTTTTGTTAGCATTAGTATTGATTTGATTTTGGTTTGAGCTTTTGTTAACATTATTTAATTTACTAATATTAATGGCTATAAAACTTATTGGACCATTCAAAAGTTCTAAGTCCAACCTTGAAATAATACCTTAAAAGATAAAATTATGAAAAATTTTAAGAAATATTTATAAATTACATCACAATAAGTATATTTATATATTAAATATATCTAAAATTTCTATATATGTAATGTCGGGTTGGTTTGGTTTCGGTTTGACTTTCTTTAGTTAAAACCAAACCAAACCAATTATGGTCGGGTTTTTTTTCCAACACCAAACCAAATCAAATCAAATCATAGTCGGGTTTTTTTTTCTCGGTTTGACTAGGATTATCGGGTTGGTGCGGTTTGTTGGTTTCCTTTGTACACCCCTATTATTAAGTATAGCCACAATTTTTATATTTGTAGCTAAGAATTTGTATATATACATGATCATAATGTATGACCATGTACCTTATAATGTATATATGGCCATAAGAGTGTTTTGATACCACTGAAAGATTGCATATAGGTATTCGTAACATGAAGCGGGACAATAATAATTTTAGAAAGATTTTTTTCATTTTAAAATATATAAAAGGTTATAATTGGTGGAACTTAATCTAACTTCTTGCAAAGTCAAGAGAACTAGAGCAAGTCTTCTCCAAAACTTTATATCAAGGTCCCTGTTTGGGGTCATATAACAACACGCCACTTAATGAAATGAAAACAACCTTTACCAACTTTATAGTCTGGTGCTATCATTTTATTATTTAATTAGATGGTATTAATTTATTCACTTAAAAATTAAGCAAAATGTAGAAGAGAAGAAAATTAACTCTAAAACTTATAGGCAAAAATACTAGTAGATTTCATATATGTAGCTATGACCTTTGCGTGTATAGATTTACATATGCAACTATGACTTATTTTTCTCTCTAGTTGTCTCTTTCCATAATTCTCGCATGTGTATTCCACCTTTGTGAATATGAAGATGATGTGTCAAATAGTGGCTTTGTTTCATTCTCTTTTCTTTTAACTTCTTCTTTTTTTTTCCATAATTTATTCTTCCTCAAAGATTTGTTAAAAAAATATGCGAGAATAGAATATTATTATTCATATTTTATTTTAAAATTTATTTTTTTATATACAAAATTACATGAATAACTTATATCCATCATGTGGCTACCTAGAGTTAATTCCTCCTAAACCATGCAGAAAAGCACAAATAGTTCCAAATATGGGAACCTCAATCAAGTTAGGGCAATTGCCCCTCCTTATTTTTGCTTTTTGTTTGATAGCCACTGGTATAGCTGCTGATTATAAGCCTTGAATTTATGCTTCGCCATCACCGCCACCTTATAATTACAAGTCATAGCTGCCTTCATCACCATTTTCGCCACCTCCTTATTACTATAAATCACCTCCTCCTCTATCTCCATCACCACATTGACCATATTAAATATCCACCTCCACCTTCACCATCTATGTCAATCTTATCTCTTATCAAAGTCTAGTTTATTAATTTCCTATAGGCGGGATTTCAACAAACACCACTACCTCTGTAGAGTTTATCAAGCTATGATCCAAATGTATATTCTAGGCAGCTTTGATTGTCAGCTAACTCTATTATGTACTCTATAATGCTCAGATCCATGCTCAACATGCCTTGTCATACCATATGAATAATATTTCTTGTTCCTATGTTAGCTAATTACGTCCTGTTCACAGAATCTCATCATACTGTCAAACTTCATATTTTTCTGAATCTGGAGAAACAATTAAATATAGACAGATAAGACGATAATAGGCTATTGGAAAAACATCCTCATAACACATTCAAATAAGTCGTACCAATTTCAATCAAGATTCTGGAATTGGTCCAAATAAATAATGTTCAACAAGCTCATAGATAACAAGGAAAACCGAACTGTTTTTGTGAAGAATCTTCAAGTTTGACGTGAACTGAAAATGACTGGGAAAAAGGATATGAAACCAATGAGTATCTATGAAGGAAAAAGATTGCAGCCAAACTCGAACATCCACAAATCATAGATACTTAGCCAACCATGGCAACTCCTTGCTGTCTTTAAGTGCAAAAGAAACATCATCACTGCAACAAAAACGCAATCAATCAAGATCAAAGCAACCATTACAACCCATTTATAACATTTCAGCCTTTGGGTTGGGATTTTTTGGTGGTGGTG